AAAAGAATGAAGTAATTGAAAACTTATATATTAATTTATATGAACAAATGAATAAAAAAAATCAAATTAATACGGTAAAAGATAACTATATATCTCTAGAGACATTCTTTGTATATTTTATATTGGATTTTTTATTAAACAAAAACATTGTCATCTTCTAAGTCTATGTCTTTGTCGAGAGTAGGGGTTGTTAATAAACTGTGTTTGTTTTTTCTTCTTATAGTATTGATTGTCAAACATTCTCATCAATCATGTTTTTTATTGATACGAGATGTTGTAGATATTCCAAAATCCATCAAAGTAGTCGTTGATGCATATGTAAACCTCGACCGATAGTGGTGTTAGTTTTTTCTTCGGGATGATATAATTGTACCACTAACAGAAACAACAATGGAAATTTTAAAGATTAGTAAATTACATGAAATAACAGACAAAACCAAAAAATATGGTTTATTTTCTTTCCGCTATGTCAAAATATCATGATTTTTTAATTTGCTAATAATTAGAGGAGGTAGTGGTGATTGTCTAGTGAGATCATTAACTAAATTGTTATAAAGTTGTACATTATTATTGTGTCTACAAGACATGTGCCAGCACGCTCCATTTCTCCAAAAAGTTATGTATATTTGTATTGGTTCGGTACTTGTCATGAAATATAAAACCCAAAAACATAATATTTTCTAAAAATACAAGAAAACCGAGAACAAGATATTTTCTTATTATACATATACAATGAGTCCCAAAATGTCCTCCAAAAGCTAGTCTTTTTTTTTTTTTCTAAAACAGGCTGATAATCTTGGTTGAGCCTTTAACAGCATTTTTTAAAGGTGCACATCTAAAGCAAAGGCCCGATTTTGACTTGGAATAAACTAAACCCATGTTTTGAACCAAACCAATTACAAGCCTTTTTAAATGGTCTTTTAAAGATAACTACTCCATAACTATTGGAATCCATTTTTGACCATTACCCCCTGAATGTTGTAATATACATATAAGTGGTTTCATTTGGTTCCAACATACCTAAAACAGTCTTTAACCTCCGTATTTTTTTTCATGGTTTTGGCTTTCATATTCATATTCTTGTTTCAATGTATTTAATAATGCATTTTGTTTCTTGTTTTCTCTTAATATTGGCATCAAAACAATCCGATTTTGGGGCTTCTCATCCTCAACCTTTTGTTGGCATGGGGACCTCACAAACCGACCACATTGTCGAAATATTGCCATGTAATGAAACACCATACGTTTGGGTGCATTATCATTTGGTTAAAATGTCTGAAAAGGGTGTAAACGAACGAAACGATATGAACATAGGTTTGTTCGTGTTCGTCGGTTTAACTTTAAACGATAAATGAACGAACACGAACAAATAAACGTACAGATTTTATTTTTTGTTTTCGTTTGTTAAGAAATTTAGTGTGTTCGTATTCATTTATGTTCGTTCGTTTAGGTGATAAACGAACAAATGAAAATAAACATACACAAACGAACTTAAACGAACATAAGAAAACAAACAAAAATAAATTTAAACAAACACAAATACACTTAAAATAACAAACACATACAAACATGTGTGTGTGTGTATATAACGAATGACATAAATGAGTGGACATAAGCGAATGAATGTAACGAATATAAAAGAACGAATGTGAGCATTGTTTGTGTTCGTTTGTTTAATTAAACGAACGAGATATCGTGTTCATGTTCGTTCGTTTATTAAATAAATATGTATAAACTTATTTCCTGCGAAACTGTTCACAAACGATTCGTTGAATGTTCAACTCATTTACAGTCTTATATGAAACTCAGTAATATAACGACATTATGGGATCGGGAAAACATACAAGAGCAACATAATAAATTTGTGGCAATAGGGAGGATAAACTTACACAACTTCATAATAATCTCCAAAATGAATAAAGTAAACATGGACAAACCAATTCAAACTGGTAACCAATTAGAAAACTTTATTCCATTAAAATTTATAAAGTTTACGAGTATTGTACAAATTACTAATCTATATTCGTTGACATTGTGGAAATATAAAGTCCGGAGGGAGTGGCTTGCTAGCCAAGCTCGCCTCCAGCTCGCCAAACTCGCTTCCACCATTTCCATTGAATTTGTTAGCTGCCTCGCTAAGGAAGACTCGTTGGTCGGGTAGCAAGATGAAAGAGAAAGAGAAAGAAGAAAGAATGGGTTGTGATTGGCTGGCTTCACTTTCTGTTTTTTTTTTTAATAAAAATAACACAAGCTTCGACGGTGAGAAAGTAAGCTTCCATTTTTGTAGATTTGCTACATTCCTTTGGTTGTTCATTTTTGCCGGCAGTTTTGGTCCCTCAATTTTAGCCTTATGATAGATTCGACCCCAACTTACAATTTCTTTTACAATACAAAATTTCAGAATTAGCACAAAACCCCCTGAAAAACCTTATTGTAACTTTTTTTAATTAAATATGAAATGTTTGTGTTTTAAAAAAATATATAATTTAATTAATTTTGAAAAAGAAAAAAAATGGAGTGCTAGGAGTGTTACCACTCCCTATGAAATGCTAAGATTTAGGTACTAAGACAAAAAAAAAAGATGACGTGGAGACAAAAAAATGATGTAGCAAGCTGTTAGGAGTGTTACCAGTTCCTCTAACCTAAGGAAACACTAATTCTGATTTTAGCCAACGTGATTAATTTATCATCAAAACTTTTAATAATGAGGTTACACCACAATTAGTGTTTCAACTTTATATTTCATAGTTGAAATAGGAATAATATTAGAATCGTATAACTCATTTATAGAACCAACAATATGCGACCAGCCGAGCACACACCTTGTATCTTGCATGGTTTTCCAACTACTTAGTTAGAATGGAATGAATACAACATATCATGACACTCAGGCCCCTATGATTGGAATGATTATGTGGAAATGAGATATATGAACAAGAATTAGTGTAATGAAGACGACTTCTAAAAAATCCAAGATCGATGAAGACGAGGAAAGTTGAAAACGAAGACTTTAAAATTTCATATTTTCGCTTTTTTGTATTTTATAATCAAACAAAGTCATAACTATTTATTTGGAATAAAAATTGTTGCAGAAATACGCAGCACAATACCACATGGCTTTGGGTGGGCCTAATAAAATGACTATAAATGGAGTATTGGACTGGCGACATAGTTGGATGATCAAGTCTGGGCTTAAGATGGACTTATGTTAGAACATTAGAGTTAGATGACAAAGTCTATTCATATCTATAATTAAACGGTTTAAAGTTTAAACCAACCTAATGTTTTATTAAATGTTAATTATGTAAAAGACATTATATTTTAGAGGGTTTTGGTTCAGACCTAAATTTATTTCTAAAAAAAAAACTCAACAAATTTTTAAACTTTTTTTTTTCATTTAGCCAGTTTGGTGGTAATCGTCTAGTAATACACAACTTATTTTCAAAAAATAAAAATCACCTTTTACAAACTCTTTTGGAACAACATTGCCTCATAATTATATGTTCTTTTGTTGTTATGGTCTTCTTATGGAAGAAGATTGAGGTTCGATTGCATATATGCTTTGCTAATTTGAAGATAAAAGGTTCTATACTATGTGAACTTAAATGAAATTATATCATAAATATGTTTCATATCTGCAATTTAAAGACAAAGTGTTATATGTTTGCTCACTAAAGGCTATGCATATGCATATCAATACAATGCCTAAAGAATTTGTTAATTTTGTTGTTAATGGTATGACTATTTATGTAAAAACTAAGTCTCAAAGGAATTTAATGGAATTATTATGATAAAATGCTTCCAACAGAGACAATATAAAATATGAAATTAGATTTTCATAAATAGATAGAATTCGGAAGCTGTTTTTCTATTTGATTCTGAAAATAATCTAATAGAACTAATCACTAAGATATCGACCCAACTTAAACAAATGTTTTTCACCAACTACAATCTTCGACGTTCCAACAAATAGATTTTGATATGCATTGCCAAAATAAAAAAAAAAATTGAACGCAACCTTTTTCTTTGGTTCTAAAAAAGTCTAATGGTTTTTTCTGTAATGTTGAAAGCTATCAAAAACACTATAAGTAGTAACAACAAGAATATAGAATTATTAGCCACTAAGAAAAAGTTGATCAAAAAGAAAAATGTCTAATATTGAGTGTCTTTTTGGGAAAATTTTGTATTGGCACATAAAATTACTTGCAAAGCAGCTAAATGGGCAAAACTAAAAAAAATATTTGGATTTTTTTATAAAAGAAAAATAAATAAATTTAGGTTCAAACCCAAAAAAAATACCAAAATATTAGTTCTTTTACATAATTAATCTTTTTGTTAAAAATCCAATTTATCGCTAGCCGTAATTTCATTGCCCTTCATTAAGGGTAGTGAATCGTACACAATAATTTTTATCTGTAAACAATTTATGCTTTATATAGTTATAAATAACACATTTTAAGCATAAATTATTGTTTGTGGAAAAAAATTGTTACTCCCTTCGTCCCAAATTATAACAATTAAATATTTTTATTTGTGTTATATATTACTTGATAAAACTTATAACAATTAAAAAACATTTAAAATATAATCCATTCATATATTTTACATCAAGTATTATCTATCAAAAACAAAAATATTTAAGATCAAAATTAAAAATAAAGATTTTAAAAGTCAAATGTGGACAATTAATTTGGGACGGAGGTAGTATGTAGGAATCATCTCCTTTCATTTAAATAAAAACATAATTATCAACAGTAAGATTTTATTCTGTAATAAAAAATATATAAATTTATATAAAAACAAACTAATGTGTTCATTCTAAATATAGCACAAACTAAAAATATAATATAAATTTACGAATTTTGTGATTATATACAAAACTATATTAATGCTTTCTTTCTAATTAAAATGTGTAATTTATAACACATTAAATTTTATTTAAAACAAATATACTATAAACGACAACCAAGCATCAACCAACCTTAGGCAACCCAATGTTAGGTGTAACAAACTGTTCATCATTTGTTTTTTTGATAAATTAGGAGGGCTTACAATGACATGTCTACTAGACAAAAAATTTGAATTATTTTTTATATGATAAAAATGAGAAGGATATTCACGTCTTTTTATATAGAAACAGGTTTTCATCCCACCTTTCTGGGTGGTACACAAAAGTTATATTTTTTTGTCTGATTTGACATCAGTCTCGGTTCCAGTTCACTGTTTGACCAGCAAGGAAGTTAAATACTTGCTTTAAGTTGCCTCTTGATGGCCTAGCATTTACCGCATATTTACACACAAATATCAATCGTTGTCTCATATCTAACTTTGTTATTTGTTTCTCCTTGAACGATTTCCCATCATCATAAACACCTGTTGACAATTCCAATCTTTCTTTAAAATCACAAATTCACATTACAAAAGCCAACATCAAGTCAAACATACCTTCAACATTGAATAATGAAATCAGTATAGCCAAGCAAACACAAACACTGATATCTTCCCCTGAAAATTTAAAAAAAAAAAATTATAAAAGTTAGAATTTTATTATCTAGCTTTCAAAAGAAATAAATTAAAAAAATAAAATAAAAGAATTATGTTTACCATTGTTACAGCAGACTGCAAGCCTTTTTCCTCTTTTGAGGTGAAGCTTGGCGAAATGTAATGCGGAAGGAAGATTTTTTAGAAGAGAAAATCTATCAAATTTTGAGCTCTGTAAAAAGTAAAAAAGACCATTACGCCCTCATCCTCGTCATTGAATGGAATGAAAAATTGCAATATAATATAATTCTGGAATGGAATGAAAAATTGCAATATAATATAATTATGTTTATGCAATTTTTAATGATACAATTGTTTTGAACTTTTTATTATTTTAATTATGGTACAATTTTATTCAAAATGACAAAAAATATTCATTCTATTATTAGCTTATTCAAGGTTTAATGCGCTTCTATTATGTTTAAATTATATATTGTACTTACATATACTATGCAAAATTTATATAAAAAATTGTTTCATTCCTGTAGGCCAACCAAACATGATCATGGAATGTAATGACTCATTCCATTCCATTCCCTTCTCCATTCCATTCCATCCACAAAACCCCCAAAAGAAACAACAAAGGAGATTAACAAATAAATGACACAACACACCATAATAGGCAGATGCAAATGGGCTTTAGAATCCTCAAGTGTACAAAAAACCTTATTTTGATCACAATTCAATACACAATCCACATCAAATGCCTTAAAATCTGCACAATCCACCGAAAAAAAAATAATAATAACATTAATTCTCATATATACAAAAAAGAAAAGAAAAAAAAAACTTACCATATCCAGTTGCACACACTGCAAGATTTGTCAAACCCAACCAGTATATCAAATGTCCAGTATCACCATTCTCCATGATGATTTCTAAAGATTGATCTTGAAAATGAGATGAACTTTTGATCTCCATTTTTGTAGGTTTAATGGAAACCTGAGGAGCATTATGACCCCTTTGAGCACGATAAACCCTATCTTTTTCAACAAAATCAGCCACCTTTTGGTTACACAAATCAGGTCCTGAATTAATTAAATCATAAACATTATTCCAAAATAATAATGGTGTTAACCCTCTTGCCCAACTCTCTTCATCATCTCCAGCTCCTGCTATGTAATTCCAGCTAAACTCAGAGCTTGTTTTTTGTCGATATATATCACTTGAAGCAGATGAAGAAATGAGAATTATTGGTGTGAAATCCCAGGAATTGTAATCAGGAACTTCGTTTAACCATATAATGGTTTTTTGTGAGATCCAAAGAGGTCTTAGAGGTTTTTTTAGTAAAGATGAGATAGAAGAAATATCAGCTCCACTTTCTTCCAATTGGTTAACCCATTTGTTTATGTTAGATTCTATCCTTGATTTCTCTGTATCAGGTACCCATAGAGGAAGATGTAAAGATGAATCCCAATGAGAAGAAGAGCTCAACTGTATACATGCAAACAGCATTATGTTTGGAGAAAACTGAAAAGATGCATTATATATGATGATCAATTGATCGTTGTAGAAAATAGAAATGAGGAAAACAGCTACTTACTTCATCGATTGGTTTATTGATTTTGTTTCTGTAGTTCTGAATTGCACGATTCAACACACAAGTCCAAATTGGTATTGTTTTTGACATGCTGTCTGGAAATCTCTTGCCTTTACGAGTAGAATCAACTATCATACAGCCTCCCTTCTGTCCTATCCATAACAAATGCAACAGAAACTTCAAACATTCTGCTACTACAAGATAACGTGAACAAATATTCCGATGAATTCATTACCTGCAAACAAAACAAGAGCTCAGATCATAATGAACACATAAGCTAGATCTCATTAATGGAAATCATGTTCCTAGCAAAAATGTAACTATTTCGAATGTGAAAGTAGAGATACGGATCAGGAAGTTTAAGAGAATAACCTGCGAGAATTGCGACATGGAGGTTGAGGCGAGAAGTATTGAACGACAAGTTGTTTGTGTGGCCATCTGTTGATTTGAAGTAACAATTGGAATGGAATTTTTTTGCGTACCAGAGTCCGCAACGCAGGTTCGCTACAAGTGGTAGCTCAGGCCATAGCTGAGCTATCTCGGAGACAAAGATCGAGTCCTCGTGAATCGACCGTAGGGAATTGTATAAAGAGCTCTGTCTTCGCTTAATCGTCCTCGAAGCTCGGTAGATACTCATTGACGCCGTCTCCTCCGCCATTGATGAAGGTCTAGGGTTTTGCAGAGGTTGGAGACGAGTTTCAGTTAAATGTTGGTTTAGTTTTAAAATTTGTCCCCCTCAGCGTTTATTTGTCAATTTGAGATATCGCCCAAAAACTCTACACAAAGCTCCATAGACAATAGTTATTAAAATTATGAATTTTTTAGACTGGTTAAGGTTTTATTAAGCCAACAAGAGATCACAAAATTTACATCAAATAAATTAAATAAAAAAAATAGATGTCCAAGCCATCCAATTAGAGGCTAAACTTCCTACTTAATTCTATTAGACATCCAAAAGAAAGTTTGTGTAAAAAAACTCAAACAAATCTAGAATGAAGTTTATTCAATGATAATCTTCAACCTAAAACTCTAACTTTGACTAAGACTATGATCATGCTGAGGAGATAACCAAAGAAACCAAACCCAAAAGCTCCATAAGACTATCCCAATGCAAGGCTTCCATCCCCCCCCCCCCCCCCCCCCCCTTCTTGGTTGCATTGCATCCAATGTAATATGTCTTTTTGCAACATTTTGTCCTTAACAGATATATTTTTGTACAAATCAAAGGGGAAATTTCTAGGAAATTGGATTTTTAGATTCAATTCTCCAAAAAAAAAAATATAATCCCAAAAAGAGGTCAAAGAACCATCTCCTATAATTTTCTTGCAAAAAAAGAAAAAAGGTTGATACTTTTTTTTTACAACTTGTTGGACACCTTAAAAATGTTTAACTAAGTACTAGTACGAAAAAATGATTTTTGATATAGACACAACCAATAGAATTAGCCATGTCATCGACCACCGAATAACTAATATTGATGCCGAACAATTTACTCTTTGTGGGTTAATCTTTAAGTCATAATCCAAGAAAAAATACAGCATGATCCAAATAAAATTATTAATATTTGACGTCAATTACTCACCCTGAAAATGGTGTCGTCAGCACAGAAAAGATTGGAAATATCCATAAACGAGCTACATATGAAGAAGTCACTAAACACATCTATAGAGGAATCTTGTTGGATAGCTACATGAAGGGCTTCCAACACCACAATGAAAAGAAAATGAGAAAGTGGATCACCTTGGTGCAATCCTTTACTAATTTGAAATTCCATAGTCAGAGAATCATTTATCAAAACTGACCCATGGAAGAGGTTAAGCAACCTTGAATCCAACCTCTCCGTTTGGTAGCAAAACCTATTTTACGAAGTGCTTAATCTAGAAAATTCTAACGAATAGAAACATATGCTTTTTCAAAGTTGGCTTTGAAAAGCATGGCTTTTTTCGATGAGATTTGCACCACGTAACTATCTTATTTAAATTGGAGGCATGTCTAAAATCTATGAAGGTTTGACTATTATTCATCACTCACAACTGAATCAATAACAAAGATTAATCAATTAGTTAATAATATGCCAATAATCAATTAGCTAATAATTTGCCAATAATTTTAAATTGACGACCTATGAGACTAATCGGAAGAAGCACCAATTTGTATGTTCTACCACATTTAGTAATTGTTATAATAACTTCTAGTTTGTTTGTCTATTTGAACCACAAAATAATTCAATCATTTCATCGCTAAAAATGTTTATCTTTTAATCCAATGAGTCTTGATTGTTCATTTTGTCTTTCCATGATTCATTTAAAAGTATTTATGGCTAAGATATGCATTTGAGGTTCAGATTTCACAAATGTTATCAATTTCTTTAAATAAGGTTTTTTACTGGGAAAAGGCCTTAAACGAATCGAAAAATAACTATTAATGAACTTTATTGAATTATAACAAGAACACCACAAATGATAACACAACGCTAACTAAACTATCCCATTAACTTGTTCACTTTTTGCATACACAATTCCTTTATCTATGAAGATAGCAATATTTATCTCAATGAGAATTTTTGTTAATCGATCAAATAATCTTATCATTTATCGAATTTTAGAAGCATTCTTGACAGCAGATGCAGGATTGATAGCCTTTCTAATCTTGACAACATTCCAAGCAGTGCCAGCAACATGTCCTGCAGTTGCAATCGCATCACCAGTTGCTTCTCCTGCCTCTTCGCCATACCTGTTTTTCTCGTGATAAACACATAAAGACATGGTGAATTAAAAAATATACGAACATCATACTATACGATAATTTGTACATAATCACTCGTTTTCTTTTTGAACTTTAGTGTATCTTTAGCATATATATTTTTCAAATAGTGGTTAAGTTGCAACTAAATATAATAAGTATATGATAGTTTAGACACGTTTCTTCCCACAATAAAAGGTAAAAGGGTATATCATCTAACGAAAATCATAAATATACAAGTGCCCTTTAATTCACAAAATAAAGTAATCTTTGTGGACTCAAATCAATACCATGGATACAAATAATACAAAAAAATTTCATTTATTAATTCATATTATATATTTATATTAATAATTTAATCTAATAAATTCATTATGTTATATTACTTTAGGTTAAAACAATTTATAACGGATAACACACCCATTAAAACAATTTATAACGGATGACACACACCCATTATACCTTTTTTTTTTGTAAATGTTACATAAAAGGGTAGAAAATGGTAAGTATATTACATTAAATGGTTAAAAATGATCATTTGGTTTAAAGATTATATAAATAAAAAAATCACAAAAATAAGCAAAACGGATGGTCGATTTAACAAAATGATCATATTGACATTTTGACAAAATCATATTGACATTTTGACAAAATGACAACCACTTGTGAGATCAATTATTGTGATTTTTAAAATTGGTTTATAAATAGTCTCACCATAAAAAACAAATCATATATTGCAATTATTTTATGAAACTGTTCATATTTGCGAAATAATTATGTTATTTTGTAATAGTCCTTTTCAGCCTTTAATAAGGTTTTTTGCACCGTAAAAGTAATTTCATTGAATTTTTTGCATTAGTCTTGTTATGTAATAAGTAACCATCTTGTTTTAAAGAATATGACACTTCACCAATGAATCGGTCGTTTTAATAATTATCTCTCAAAAAATATATTGAATGGATTAATAAAATCATAAAATATAATGCATTTTGAGAGTGAACTCTATATTATTAAGGGTTGATTAATGTCACAAATCAATAATATACATATTGTTTTTAGATCATTTATTGGGCATTTGCTATGGCACCCTTTGGAGCATCTGGAAGGCACATAATGAGAGAATCTTCAACAATAAAATGGTCTTTGCAACCAAAGTGGCTGATATCACTAAATCAATAACGTTTCTTTGATTCAAATATAAGAGTGGTAACGGAGCTCTAAGTTGGTTAGATTGGATTAACTACCCTCTGTATAATCTGTAATGGTTTTACTTCTCATTACCCTTACATGTACTTTTTGTATCTGTTTTCCCCTACCTATCATCTTGTTAGGTTTGGGTTTTTTATATTATTATATATTTGCCGGTTCAAAAAAAAATTATCTTTTAAATGTATTTAATAGTTCACTAAACATTTTTTTTGGATTCCTGTTACAGCATTAAAATCGAATTAATTCAACCGGCCAAACTGATACATAATCCTATGTGGCGTCTATCATGACATTCAGTGTAACAAAATTTGTTCATTTAGGTTTACCTAATGTTGAGATTGCACTGTGACATTCGATATAGTAGAATTACCCGATTAAATGCATTTTAATGGTGTAATGGGAACCCAAAAAAATATAGTGGTATATTGAATACAATTAAAATATAAGTGGTCTATAAAGCAAATTTCGTGGTGTTGGTTGTCATTTTATGATCTTAACCCTTATAAAAATAATTGTGAATGAATAAGTAAAATTTTAATTCAAAAACATTTTACAAAATGAAATATTGTAAATTTTGATATGGATGAAGGATGAGGGCTCGGTCTAACCTTTCACTGACTGCCCGAGTTGCAGCATCAGATGTAGCAGCTAAGGCTTGTCTTTGAGCAACTTCAGCTGCATCCATCATTATATCTGCAAAAATTCCAACAAATTAAAATATGACTTCATTTTATCTAATTTAGTTTGGATTAAAATCGGAATTTAATTTTTGGTTTGTTTTTTCATAGGGATGTATTTAATTATCAATAATATTTGTATTTATATTAATGTTGTTTTGATAAAAAGTTATCATTCTATTATTGTAGATTGTAATATTATGTTTGAAACCAAATCAGACTGAATAAGAATTTGGTTTTTGATTTGGCTATGTGCATATTATTCGGTTTGGTTTGAAAAATAATTTGAATCCAAAGAGCGAACACATTAACATCATTGATCGTTCGCTTCCACCAATCTAAACAGGCCAAATACAAAACATAAGAATGAAATTTTATTTAGTTTAATATTTGGAAATCAAAGTTTCAAAATATAAAAAAATGCTTAAAACTATAGAAAAGTTTCATTTAGATTTATGACCTAAATTGATTGTATTTCTACATTTTAGGTTGTCGTGAACATCCATAGTATAAGAATTTTTTTGACAAAGCTTTTTTATGTCACCTCATTGATAAATCACCAACCTAATTTTTTTTTTTAATTACAAACACTCACTATACAAGAGTTTTTTTCATATAATATTCTTTTGAGTTTTTCAACATAATTATTATATAAACAAATTCAATGAAAATATATATAATAGGTAAATTACAATAAATATATAGTTTATTCAGTTATAAAAAGATAAATATTAGAAATTAAACAAAAGTAGATCGAATGGTTTGCAAGTCAATGACACTATATTAAGATGGAACATTATTTTAATTATCTTTTACATAACTAATTTATAGGAGAAAAAAATAGACAAAAAGACTTGTGAAAATGAATTTATATACTCTTTTGTGGAAGTTAGGAGAAAAAAAATACTTACTAATAGCATCAAGAGAGGCAAGCACGACTTCCCCTGGAACCGAGTTAAAAAAGGCCTTCCCAGCTCGAGACCGAACTGCAGGACCCATGACTGAACCTGATGCCATTCCCACTCCATTCAACAAAGCTTTACTCATGCTTTCGGTCATCTTTGAGAGTTTTCTTGCGCTAAATATACACACACATATATATTTCAATGAGCTAAAAAGAAGTATCAATCTAGATATCAATTGTTAAAACAATAATAACATGACAAATACTTGGAAAAAAAACACATGAAATTTAATTTTTAAATGTGCATAACATTTGATCCAGGTGATGTTATCAAATTTATAATAACCCCATGAAAAGGTCTTGATGAAATTGAAATTCCACCTTTTTAGATTTGGCTCCCATTTGTCGGAATAGGAAAAAAAAGAAACTAAGAAATTACAAAGAGTAAAAGGACATAAATGGGTCATTTAACCAATACTTTTTGTTACGTGTTTTTTAGTTGAAAATTTTTTTTTGACATGTTATAATTATCTTTCGTGTTCTTGAGTTGAAAAAAAAAATGAAATAAAGCTAACAATCTAACATCTATGTGGAAAAGAAAAATAAATAGTGGTTTCTTCATTTAAAACGTCTAAATTTTTTCCATTTTCATTGGAGCTATATACATAAAAAGACATTGTATATTGGTACTATTTGCTTTTTAACCATTGTGAATCAAATTATTCATAAAAATATCCAAGTTTAACAAAAAATTCTAATATAAACACTAAAACATATTATCGACGGTTAAAACCGTTGATATATGGAATTTTGCCAAAAATTGGATGACTTTAATGAAACATTTCGACCACTCAACATGGACATAAAAATCGTCAATTTTAAGTGGCTTTTATGGAAAATTTTGATTTATAAAAATAAAAAATATACTGCCTTTTATATATATTATCATTTTCATTTTCTCAAAATCTTAGTCACGGATCATTTCTTAAATAAATAAATAAATAAATAAAGCCCTTAATTAGTTTCTTGCCCTTTTTTTCGTTTCTTTCCAAATCACTTCCTGTTTTTCTTCTCTTTTTAACCTAGAAAAATTGATGTGCTTCTACCCTATCCTAAAATCATACAATTAATTTGGAAGATTTATTTCACCTTCTTAAGCTTTTGTTGATCCCATCCCCCTTTCTTGTACCATTGGTTTTGTTGTTTTCGTTAGTTTTAGTTCTTGAGATGCCATGCTTTTCCTCCATTGCCTCTTTTAAGATCATATCACCTCCTTTTTGCAACTATTTTGGATCCATAATTCAACAATTATCATTTACAAGTCCATGATAATTGTTGGACAAAGGAATGTACTAGTGTAAAGTATATAAGATCATGTATTATAGTAACAAGAATTTTAGTTCTTTGATTCGTTTTATATACTATATATTTTTCAAAAAGGAAATTGATCCGCACATAATAATTTTTTGTCATGTACAACAAATTATATTTCAGAGGTTGTATAATATACAAATTGTATAATCATATAAAACATAACTTAAAAGTTGTTGTACTGATCGCTTTCTCTTTTTAAGAATAGTGACTATCCATGCATGCACATAAAAGTCAAAGTTTGGACGTGCATGTCCTAAAGACCTTTTACAGAGTTCTATATTGTAGAAATAAAACATAAAATTTCTTCTTATAAGTTATATTGCATACCCTGAAAATATATTTATTATGGCAACGAATGTATTGGTCAAAATCAAGGATCGGTCAATACTCGTGCTTTTAATTGGATGACAAATATGGAATGAAAAATACAAATGAAAAAGTGGATTAATTTGGTTTATAGTTTATTGATCAAGAATTAAATGATTAAAAGGAAAAACTAAGCTAAAACGGGTGGAAAGTCGCCCAAATGTATTGATATGGTTAGGGCTAGCAATTCTTGACACGACCCGCGACACGACACGAAATAAATGGGTTCGGGTTGAGTTTTTCAACCCGCCAACACGCCAACCCGTTTATCAAACGGGTCATATATGGGTTTCTCAAAAAATAAACGGGTTGACCCGCCAACCCGTTTATATATTTAATAAAAAAATTATTTTATTTTTAAATGTATTTATTTATCAAGTATTAATATTTAATAAGTATTATATAATAAATTACTTTAGCACCTGAATTATCTATGTTTGTATTAATGTTTACTTTGAACATGTTTCTATGAATGTTTTAAATCTTCATTTGGATGTTTAAGACTTAAGTGTCTAAAATTCGGATATGCTTGGATCAACCATCAAAAATTTATTCATATTTAATTGTCAATTTTATTTATGGAATCTGACCCACGAACCCAAATCTGACTCACGAACCCGCCAGCCTATGAACCCGTATAAATAAATGGGTTGGTGGGTCATATATGGGTTTATGTTCCAAACCCGCCAACTCATGACCCGCCAACCCGTGACCTGTATATTTAAATGGGTCGTGTTTGGGTTGACATATTTTTGACCCGCCAACCTGCCAACCCGCGACACGTCAACCCGAACACGACACGACAGGCCTAGATATGGTTATAGTAACATTTCAAAATCTATTTTTTAAATGGTTAATGTTATAGATGGATAATGAACTTTTTTTTTTTTTTTTTTTTGTAAAACACTATTGTATTTAAAATAAAAATAAAAAAAAAATAAAAAAATAAAAAGTTATCACAAGGCAAGTAACTGGAACTTTGTGTTCGCAAAGATACCATTATTTCTATGATAATTAGTGAAGAAAAACAAATTGTTCGTTACGTATTTGTGATATTTTTTTGAAACAATGATTTTTTTAGAATACAAATGGTTTGTTGATAGGAACGTAACATTGTCCCTTTGAAAAAAAAAAACGGATTAATATATTTGTATATAGTTTTTTTATTATATTTAGTACATTAATTACTCAAGATATTCAAAACAAAAAATGGGAGGTAATAAAACCTGGTTGGTATAAGCATTGCTACACATAAAAATCCCTCTAACAATCTGACCGGTTCCTCCCGCAATCGCCTTTGCAAGAACATTATTATAAGCATCGATTTTAGGAGCAAACTCCTTCCAATCGATATCTGTCTTTCTTGAAACCGAAGAAGTTGAAAAACATGAATGTTCTTTCAAAAACTTATCCAACATTGTTAAATTCTCATCATCAGTCTTTGGAAAGGTAACACCATAGCTCAAAGGATCCTGACCTTTGATCACGGGTAACGTGAACAAGTAGTGGTGAGGATCAAGCTTCACTACCGGTTCGTCTTTTGTTAAAGGCCATTGAAGATCATCACCAATTTTAATAATGGTTGCTAGAAGAATGTTGTCATTGGATATTTGAAATAGTGTAAAGTTTCCATTTGCAAGCTCAACGGCTTCACCTTCGTCCATTATATGAACTTTGGAATTGGGAATTGATAGGAGGGTTTCATGTTTGGCGTTTTGTGGTTGCGGGAGGTGGTTGGTGGTGGTTTGTGGCGGCATTGGTGGTGGTGTGGTTCGGGGAGGGGAGAGTGTTCTTGGTTTCTTGGTTCCACAACAAATCATTTTGTTTCAAATTGTTGGTTTGGATTTTTGGTTTGTTGTCCTATTGGTGATGTTGAAATGGATTGTGTTTATTGTAAAGAAGATTGGATGGGGTGGGGGTAAAAGGGTAATTTGACAACGAGAGTCGAGAGGGAATTAAGGCTTTAATTGATGCTTTTTGCTAGGACCTTTTTCATATTCTTAACTTTGGCATATTTAACTTTCGGTGGAGGGAAGATGGATAATATGGTTTCCTTATTTGTTTTTAATGTTTTTATTTCAAATAAATATTGCCCCGGATAAAATATTATATGACTAAATGATATCTTTTGAAGGAAATTTTAACACCATTTTTCTCGATTTCCCAAGTTTAAAAAAATGTTGTTGGTCATGTGTGTGAATACCAATTACTAGGATAAGGGTAACCAATTAAAATGTTACTTTTAAATAGTAATAAGGCCGAATTTGGTTTATTAGTTTTTATTATTTAATAAACGTAAGACTCATGTATTATATAGATATATTAAAAATAAAATTTTAATATCTATGTGTAAACATTAAGAAATTTTTAAAATGATACTTTTACATATATAAATAACATAATGAATATGTTATTAATTCAATTTATACTAATAAAAAAACTATTAACATATTTCAAATACAAACACTAGATTTTTAGATAATCAAAATGTTGTGTCTAGCAGCTTAAATACATTAAATATAAAAAATAAGGAATGTACCTAGGTTTCCTTTTTATTAAATATATTTATTGTGTTAAATATAATTGCTTACTAATTAATAGGTGGCATTTTATTAGTTGACATTTTAATAAAATGGAAAAACATACAATAATGACTTGTAGATGTTAATTAATTCAAAATTACTAAAAAATTCTATTTGTCAAATTGAATGAGAATTTGCATCATTGATTTATTAATGATAAATTATAAACTAGTAATATAATAAATATGATTACAAAATATATATTATAAGGATAACAATATAAATTTATTCAAATAAAATGATTTAGGAGATCATAAACGATCAAAATTACCCAATTTCATATGAATATGTTGAAATTGATAATTGAGGGATGTTCGACACACAATTTTTTAGAGCTTCTAGCTTTTAGGTTTTAAAAGAAAACTCGAAAAAAAAACAAAGTTTCTTTTGGTAGTAAAAACTACTTCAAGTAGTGTTTAACAAAAAACTTTTATATTTTTGCAAATTGACTTAATTACCCTTTTTTAAATTATGTTCATATTTTATATTTTACAATATATCATTTTATGTAACTTTACGTGTTTTAAAAGCTTTCGGCTACTTTTGTCGAACGTTGTTATACAAATAAAAGCTACAACTTCCAGCTTCTAGTTTCCAACTAGTTTTGCCGACACGCCTTTAACCGATTTTTCCATATTAAATCGCAGAATTAGAAAATGGTTTTTTTGATATCAAACGGATTTTATTCTCTTTCACTTAATTATTAGATGTGTTTTAAGTTTGATAAGTATCAGATTCTTGACTCAACATTTGACAAAACCCTAAAAGTTTTAGTGAAAGGGAATAATTTAGATTGTATTAAAGTGGGAGGAGATGCATATCTTAATGAATGACATTTAATAACAAGGTACAACATGAACAACTAATCAACTATATGGTTATCATATCAAATAAACTTTTCTTTTATACCGATCAAAGTTACTTAAAATATTATGATGAAAGTTAGAAAATCCACGACCACTGGTACTACAACTAATGGTATATGGTAGTTTCAAAACATTAGCTTTTGCAAATTAAGGAAATGCTCATACTTTTTTTGAACCAAGTCACAAGGTAAAATGTAAAACATTTCTTAACAACACACGTTTATGTAAACAAACATGTTCACCAATGTAAACATGTCAACAACAATAGCACGTTTATTGGTTTTTAAACATGATATCTTGTGATAAAATTATGCATATTCTATCAACTGTTATCATGTGAACAGATCCACTTTTGCCATGTGATCCACTTATGACACTTGTTTGGTTTTAACTATCATTATTGTATGTTTTCTTTATACAAAAAAGAGCGAACAACTAACTAATAAACATATAGATTAACAAAAGCAATCAGCTTCAAATAAACTAAACTTCTAATCCAAGTGGAGTTGTAGAACCAACAAACCGTTCACATAAAAAAATAGGTTCCCGGTTGACCGCTACGGTTTCCTGCTTTTGCAAGGATATGGGAAAATGCTCGCCCTTTGGACGATATGCTAAGAAGTATGTCGCATACTCTCTCCTGGTTAACTTCTAGTTGAAACCCCCAAGACTTGCAATTCACATAAGATTTCCGATTTTTTTTTTGTATATTACATGGATCAACATGATTTTAATGTTTTATATAAATTAGACTACTCTATAAATTATGTGATTTTTTAGATAGTAAGTATAATTCATTTTGATTTGATTTCAAAGTAAGAACTTTTAGTTGCACCTGTCAAAATTAATAAGAAATTAATAAGATGGGTTTGCACAAAAAAGGGAAACCAAACTAAAAACCAAAAAATCAATCTTCTTTTGAAAATCCTTGGTTTGATTTTTCATATTTTGTATGAGCGGTTGGTGTTTGTTCTTATAAAAAAAAGTTAACGTATGACAATCAATAGCATACAGTATGTTCTTTGGGTCACTTATATTCTAATTGTATTCAATAGGCCAATAACTTTTTTAGCTTCTCATTACACAATTAGGCCATATGGTATACTTCAAACGAGCATGTTCGTGGTATACGTGGCCACGAACCATGATCATGCACAACGTCCCGGTTTGTCGTCGTGCGTCATGGTCGTGGCCATTCGTGGTGGCTACGACGGAGGCGGATGTTGGTGATTTTAGTGTCACCATGTCATTTTAAGTAACTGGAACTAACATGTGAGCTAAGGGGCTTCATAATTTGTATTCTATTATATGTACGGGGTTGTGCGGAGTGCACGCATCTATAAGATCGAATTAGAAGCCGGTTCGACGACTAGTCGAGGGTCCGGGGGCAGCGCCCCTGGGTTCGGGATTTCCAAAGGGGCAGCGCCCCTTTGACGGGGTCTAGGGGCAGCGCCCCTAGCGGGGTCCAAGGGGCAGAGCCCCTGGCTAGGGTCCCGCTGCCAGGTCAGCGGGCAGGGTCGAGGGGCAAAATCCCCGCGGGGTTTGGGGCAGCGCCCTTAAACCTCACCGAATTTTACATATTGGAACATAATGGAAAATTCAATTTCTTGAGGATGATTATGGTAAAACTAACGAAACTCGTTAGTTTTTGGTAACCCTAAATCCTCATTAAATCCGGATTAACATTGCTTGCTTCCAAAGCAACTAATGACGGCCCAACCCTAATGAAACCCTAATCGTGTTTAATATATAAACAGCTCTTCCTCTATAGAAGTGGGTTACGATCTTAAGCTCTCGTTTCATCATACTTTCACAGAATCCTCTAGCATATTGGCTTACGTCTTCTGTGCCTAGAAACGTAAGTGTCCACTTGGATTATCCTAGGCTGAATTTCTTGTAACCCAGACATAGGGTAGAAATATCAGTTCGGAAAGTGATATCACGATCCAAGTTGGTATCCAGATCTCCATCACAAACCCTAAATTTCCTAACAATCGAACTGATATTTTCTGTTTCTGGAGATGGGTGACTCAATCCGCGAGATGACCACTAAGTTTGCAAAGCTGGAGAAGTTCAAAGGTGTTGACTTCAGGCGGTGGAAGAAGAAGATGCACTTCATGCTGACTACTCTCAAGGCAGCGTACGTGCTGACTACTCCTAGACCAGCAGAGCCTGAGGAAGGTGTTGTTGAGATGGATGAAGAGACAAGAAAGAGACAGAAGTGGGACAATGATGACTACATCTACAAAGGTCACATTCTGAACGGTATGTCTGATGCTTTATTTGAT